AAACCAATTTGGATAGATTGGATGGACTGGCAAGACACATTGAATTGGACCAATTCAGATTTAATGGTCCAAAGTATTTATTGGATTGGATTGGACCTAGTCCATCCATAATGAATTTATATTGGATTGAGTTGGATTGAGCTAATATGTTGTCCATTGATAAAAGATAAGAACATAGGTGTAAATGGACTAGGTTTAGGTTAGAATTAATTTAAATTAAAACAAATTTGAACTGACTGGACAGTCCAGACATTGAATTGGACTGGTTCAAAATATTCATTGGATTGGATTGTAAATAGTCCATTTGTAATGAACTCACATAAGATTGGATCGGATTGGTCCAAATCCAGTCCAATTGACACCCCGCTCAGAAGGGAATTGACTCATATAACATTTTCATTATTACTGTGCTAATTTCATTATTCAAGGAAAAAGGAAAATACAAGCTCTCATAGTTAGAGTTGTAATAGGGATGGCCATGGGCCAGGCCGGGCTGGGCATCTGGGCTTGTTTCTACAAATCAACAATATTATATTAAAAAATAAAAGATTAATTTAAGCTTATAATAAAAATGCAGAATATATATATATATATATATATATATATATGTATGTATGTATGTATGTATGTATGTATGTATGTATGTATGTATGTATGTATGTATGTATGTATGTATGTATGTNTATGTATGTATGTATGTATGTATGTATGTATGTATGTATGTATGTATGTATGTATGTATGTATGTATGTATGTATGTATAAGTGTGCATATTTATATTTTATACCATAGATACATATATACATGCCATAGGTATACATACCATATAAGATACTATACTATATATTTAACTTTATGCCAAGCATAGCAGCCTAGGGGCCCAGGACTGTCCCGCATTAAGGCTGTGTTTGATTTGAAGGAAGAAGTATGGAAAAGAAGGGAAAGATTGGAAAACCTTTATAAACCTTGTATAAGTTTTTCTACCGTTTTCTACCTTTTCCTTCAAACCAAACATAGCCTAAAGGAAAAAGTAGGAAAAATAAAAAAAAAGGTAAGAAAATTTTTACAAACCTTATATGAGTTTTCTTATCTTTTTCTTCATTTTTCTACCTTTTCCTTCAAACCAAATATAACCTAAGTATGCATTTCATGCCAATCCAAGTCAAGTCGGGCTTAGAAGAGTTATAGTTGCCCAGGCTCGGAAATTATTATACTGGTAGTGGTAGGCCGAGCTATGCAGCCATTGATCGAAATGATCAACCCTAGTTTATGTGGACCGAGCACTAGTATCAATACCTGATTAACTAAGGAGGTGGTTAACAACAAGACACACCATTGTGAACACCCATTAAGGAGATGAAACAAGCTTGTTTGTGGGCTCCATTTACATTCATATCATATCAGATTGGATTAGGTGGATCCATATCCAACCCATTATAAGTGGATATGATTCAATTTTGAATACTGACAAATAAATGATTAAATGAATACCATTTATAATTTATCAACTGAGGGGTCCGCTCTAGCATAAACATGAATTCAATTCCCACAACCATCGACTTTTGGGGAGGGGGGTTATTAATGGTGTCCGGTGCGTATCATCAAATACTAAAAAAAGTATCATTTGCAATTTGTAACTCAGTAAAATCTTTTTGATTTGACCCAAACCCTATAACCTTGTTATTCTTTAAAAAAAAAAGGTAAATTACAAATACCCCCTATACTATGGGGTTTGTGATAAAGAGCCCCCTGTGTTTTGTTTTGCAATAAAGACTCTCTGTATTATGACTGTGAGATAAAGACCCCCTTCTGTTAGTTTTTCGTTGAAATCTGTCGTTATAATATTTTTTCATCCCCATACTACTCTTATAATAACTATTCGGACAATTAGGAGAACAACATTGTTCATCTTCCCTAACCTCACGATACGCAAACAGCAGCTGTGTTAATCTCTTCTACCTCAGATTCTTTCACATCTCTCTATCTCTCTCCCCCCATCTCTCTTCTTCCCCTTCCCCTTTTTCTCCTCCCCTTTCTTCTTCCTGCTTTTCTCTGCTTTCCATTACTCTCGGCCATAGCCACTACAACTTGTTGCAACGGCTAATTTGGTTGTTGAAAACAGACTGCAAGGCCCACTTCACTACAAGAAAACGTCGTGAGCTTGTAGGGGTTGATTTGATCTCTTTCAGTTCAGCATCTTCGACTATTATCAAATGACAACTTAGTTGTTACGTGTTCATCTTTCGAGGACGTGTGGCCTCTCTCATCAACCAAGAAAATTTTGGGAGAAAACGGCCCCATTAACGATTTCACACTTGATGATAAGGCCACACCTCCTTAAAATTTTCTTTTATTTACTTTTCAAATGCATTCACTTTGACATCCACCGTGAATAAGAATATAGGATGGTTTCCTCTTTCCTGTTCTTGGTGGAAGTCAACTTGTTACCAACCTACCGTCACCCATGATGTCTCGAGGGCAGGGGCAGAGCCAGGGGGTGGCAGAGGGGAGCCATGACCCCTCTATGCCTTGAAATTCCTTACAGTAGTCATTTAAATTTTATATATATTTTGCCCCTCCTACCCATGTTTCTTATCTTTTTCCCCCTATTCATATTTATTACGCTTTAGCCCCCACCAATAAAAAATCTTACCTCCGCCCCTGCTTGAGGGAGGATTCGACTTTTATATAGCCCGGAGTGTTTAGGGTTTAATCTCGTTCTCAACCAACAATCAACACCGTTACCAGCGGCAATACAACACCAGCGACGACAACCACCACGATCACTAGAAACCCTAAAGAGGTCAACATGCTTTCCTCTGGTACTAAAATCCTGGATAATTTATCCCCTGCAACTTCCAACGCTTCATTTGAAACCATTAACCTCGAAAATCAAGCCCCATAACAGGTCTCAAAACCCTCTATCAACAACGAAATCCTGGAAGGTCAAAACCCAGAAGTTTCTCATGTCCCCAAAAGCGTAGGAGAAGGCGAAGAGGAAGAAGAAGAAGGTGAAGAGGATGAGGGAGAATGTGGGTTCTGCTTGTTCATGAAGGGAGGTGGATGTAAAGAAAGCTTCATTGCCTGGGAAAAATGCGTCGAAGATGCAGAGAAAACAAAGAAGATGTTGTCAAGAAGTGCTTCGAGGTGATGGGATTGCTTTAAAAGTGTATGACACCCATGCCGACTACTATGAATCAATACTTCAGGTGGAGAAGGCTATGGATGAAGAGGTGGCCAAGGAATTGGAGCGAGAATCAGATCAAGAAACCGCATTGAAGGAGGATAAATAGAAAAGCTAGAGGCTTTTTTTTTTTTTTTTTTTTTTTTAATTCACGTTGTATTCCAAAATGTTGGATATTCATAATGACAACGTCTTGAGTAAGCTAGAGTGAAGAAAATTTAGGGGGAATTTCGGCGGTGTCAGATTATCAGATCTTTAGTGAGGTAACTAAAACTACAGAGATCCCAAGCCTTTCAAGGTTTCGGCTAAGTGAAACAATGGAGCAGGCCTTGCAGTCTATTTTTAACAACCGAATTAGCCTTTGCAACGAATTGCGGCAGCCATGGCCGAGAGTAACGGAAAACAGAGGAAAGCGGGAATAATAAAGGGGAAGAGAAAAAGGGGAAGGGGAAGGGAAAGGGGAAGAAGAGAGATTGGAGGGGGGTGGGGGAGAGAGAGATGTGAAGGAATTTGAGGCAGAAGGGATCACCGTCACTGTGTCTTGAGGTCAGGGAAGATAAACAATGTTTTTCTTCCAATTATTCGAATAATAATTAAAAGGGTAGTATGGGAATTACAAAATATTGTAATTACGGATTTCAATGGAAATCTAACGAAAGGGGATCTTTGGCCATAGTACAGGAGGGTTTTTGTCACAACCCCATAATACAAGGTGGTCTTTATAATTTACCCAAAAAATATATAAATATTATAACATAACACCTATAATACATCTTAACTTCTTATATATAATATTCTATATCATATAATATATAAAATACATTTTATACATATAATATATTATGTTACAAACAAAAACCATAAAGAAAACCTAGCTTGCGCCCGAGCTTATGATTTAGGTAATCAGGCCCAAAACCCAGGCTATAACCCTTATTACAGGTGCCAAGCCTGGCCTGGCCTCATCCATGATCACCTCCGATAATCAATGTTCAATTATTGATACATCCTGACATGCCGGATGGGGCAAAAGACTCAAAACCCCCCGAAAGCCTATATTTAGTATGTTAGGATTCTTTCCAAGCAAAATCTATAGATGGACAGCGAAAATATAGAAATCTTGATATATATTTCCTTATTTTTTTGGTAATTATATATATCTCATTATGAATTTAACATAAATGTAAAAGAGATACATTTAACATAGTGGCGATATGCTGATACCGATACCGAGTCATGTTTAACAAATTGGCGATATACCGGTACCGAACAATACATTTCGAAATTTTGATTGATCGTTGCTGCATGCTTAGTACATGACCCAAAGGCCAAACTCAACCAACCACAGTAGAAAATCATTGAATTCACATCGTCAGTCTCTTGGTATGGAGAATTTTCTGTACCAAACGAATAGCAATCTGTCACACCATCATGTTTTTCAAAGTAATGATTTTTAAGTGACGTGGCTTATTGGTCGGTACAGAAACTTTTCTGCACCAAAGGGACAGACGATGTGAACTCTAAATCATTGGGCTTGACAAATCATACGTATTCGATGTGGGGTCCATTAATTTCTACGGCGGTTGTGCGCATTACGCGTAACGTGTACCGAAGAATCTAAAGCAGCCGCTTTCTAAGGCCGTATGCGAACTTCCTAAATCTTATTTTCTCGCGACAGGAGAACACGTAGAATCACAAGTTGAAAAATTGGAAACTAAAGCAAATGAATAAATAAATATAGGAAAAAAACGAGGAGAAAATAAAATATAAAATAATTTAAATTACGATAAAAAATAGTTAATTAGAAGTTTAGAACAGGAAAACTATTTAAAATCGGAGTTTCATATTTTGTGTGCGGCTCTGTGGAATCCTGCGGAGAAAGAGGTCTTCGTTGTTTCCATGCAGCGAAAATGGTGGCCTGTTCGATTTCCATGTTTGCTGGGGTTTCGGATCGATGCTCCTCTCGGACAATTACGCGGTAATCCGGCATCTCTGCCGAGTTCTCTGCCTCCAACCAAGTTCGCTATTTTCTTTGCAGATTCCAATTTGGTCCTGTTGCGTCCGAATTCCCTGCTTTAGGGTTTTAATGTTCGGGAGGGGATATTTCTTCTGTTTGTGGGTTTTACTTGTTGGATGATTTTGTTCTGCAAGGATTTGGATCGGTGGGTTTTGTCTCTTGAACTGAATTGTGGTTGTGCTCTGCGAATTGTGAAATGCTAGTTTTGGAATTTTGAATCATCAATGATTGATCGGGTCTTTGTTTTGATGGTTGAATTTCGAAAAAAAATGTTTCTTTTTTTCTGAAACCTAAGGTTGTTTAACTTGTTTTCCATGGGCATTGACTGATGAGCGTTGTCGTGTAGGCGGTTACCGGTAGAATTTGGATTTCTTTTGCAATATTTAATTGGTTTGCTGTTGAAACGGGACATTTGAGGCTGGCTGTTGGGAGAGGTTGAAAGCAGAAAGCGGAAAACTGTCTAGATTAAGTGCTAAGATTGACAGATGTGAGTAAGTACTAATTATGCACTTTTAAGTTATATATATTCCGCTGAATTGTAATTCGTTTTCTCTGTCTAATTGGTCTCGGTACTACCAATACAGAAGCAATCAAATTGGGGTTTTTCTGGGATTGAGGGCACAAAGGAATTGAAACTGTTAGCGTATCAATCACGTACGTATAAGATTTGTAGAGTCGAGAGGGATGAACAGTTGAGGCACCTGGTAACCTGAAGATATAAAGAAAGAAATGGATTCGGCAAGGAGTTGGTTCCATAAGTTTCAGCCTCGAGATAAGTTGAGGTCTACAACTAAAAAGAAGGAAATGACGGGTAGTGATAAAGAAGGGGCGAAACCGCCTACCGGTGAGGAAGCACCTTCCAATGCCACAAAGCAGAAAGTTGCAGCGGCAAAGCAGTATATAGAAAACCATTACAAGGAGCAGATGAAGAACCTACAGGAGAGGAAGGAACGGTACGCCCTCCAGCTTTTCTCATTCTTATAATAATTCAATAGTCTCTATTTATTGTTATCAGTCAAATAAAAGGAAAAAGTATTTCTTGTTCTGTTTTTTTTTTTAGTTAATAATTAGTACCACTGGGTAGGTCTACCTTATCCATCTTCCTCTGTCACTTTTTCATTGTCTTTGTTGCCAGAAGGATGGCAAGTTTCTATTTATTGATCAAGAAAAAATTGTTGAAGCTGTATTATTACATCAACCAAGTTCACTTCAATATAAGGTATGAAATAGCAATTTGAATTGGAAACAGCCTCTCTGTATGTGCAGGGATAAGGCTGCATAAATCTGTCCCTGCCCAGATCCCACATTGGTGGGAACCTCGTGCATCGTGCTGCCTTTTTAGATAGCAATTTGAAACTCTTGCAGAACATTAGGAAAAACTCAACTGTAACCTATCTTATATTACTTATTGGAGGAGTAAGTGTCATTGATTCTTTAGATATTCCAGATTTTTCTATGTACCTTTACTAGATATACTATATTAGCAAGAACATCTTTCTGTTGTTCCTACTTCTTAACAATCTGCAAGACTGATTTTATGTTATATACACTTAAAACCACAGGGTGAGATGAGCAATGAAGACAATAGTTAATCATTCACTATATTTTTGTATAGAGTTCTAGATGAGGATATTTTTTTGGGTCTCACAATCAGTGCATCCACTGATGCCATTTTTCATCTCCTCAAGTGTCTTTTATTTGTAGATTCATTCATAGATAACTTATTTTTTATTTCCTTTTCCAAATATTCAGGTTTGTCTTATCTTCAGTATTTTCAGTATTATTTTTGATAATACTGAGACTGTCTACCATGATGGATTTGTTTGTCCGTTAAGATACCAACTTGAGATACACTATAGTTTCTGCAAATGTAGTAAGCCATAACTACTCGGTTGTCATTGGAAAAAAACTGAAAAAAGGATTGAAACCTTTTTCTCTTCTTTTTCTCTTGGGATGAAGAAGAAGTAATTATACTGTTAAGAAAGTTAGGAGACAACTTCCATAGACAACACAGTATATCTTGCTAGTACAAGCACCCAGCCGTATGAAAAACTGCAGCAAAAGAGAAAAAAACTGGTATCTGGCATGTTCAATGATACCTGGATACCTGCACAGGGGTGCCGTATTGTGTTGGATACTTCAATTTTTAGTGCATTTTTTATCTTGTATTATATCCAGTCACATCCTTGCTGTATCTGGGTAACATGGGACATATTGTTAATGGGGGGAGATTCCAAAGAGTTAACTCTTTCTACTGAAGTAACACACAGTACAGACTATTTATCTGGGTAACATGGGACATATTTATCTCTGAACACAGATATGAGTATTGGTATCTTATCATTATTCAATACTTGTATACTGCCAAATTTAATTAAGCTTCTAACTTATACAGATTTTTTGTAGTATGAGTATTAAAACATTCCATTTTACATATTCTGAAAGTGTAAACGCTATTGAGATATACTTTGGGATTGCCCATGCAGCATTTAATGTGGTATTGGGTACACATGATGTTTGATATCAGTATGGTAGGCATGAAAGTTATCTAGGTATTATTACCATACTTTAATAATATTGGGGCAATGATGAAGGAATCTGACCCTTCCTGTCCTTGCATGTACCACATTTGTTTGAATTCATGGGATATGGAGTGGTTTATGGTCATGGCTAGAATCTTATCCACAAAGTGATCCACATTAAAGAAAACTACATTTTTTTTGGAATATGAGGGATCCAAAGGAATCTACTTCGAAACTACTTTCCCTTCATCTCTTTAAGCAAAAACAAATGATTCTATTGAGAGAAGTCTTCTTGAGTTCATCATTCATGATCATCTATCTTTCATTGAGTTCGAGGAAACCTGACCTAAGGAAGAAATGGGTCCAACAAGGGACTCTACTTCCAAGTGACATTCCTTGTCAATCTTGGAACCCAAACTGCATTCTTGGCAACCCTCATAGAAACATGTTTTTTTTTTTTTTTTTTTTTTTTTTTTTTTTTAACAAAGATGGCTTTTATTGAAAACAGAAGAAGCAAAAGGGGGAAGACTCACACTTATTAAGGCATCCCTTTGCCAATCTGCCAATCTATTTCTTGTTGGTTTTCTGAGTCCCGGGAAAAGTAAAAAGTAAGATTGAAAAGCTCCAGCGGAATTTCCTATTGGGAAGGAGGCGGTGAAAAGAAGTGCCACTTAGTTTGTTGGAGTCAGGTTTGCAAGCCTAAGGAAGCTGGTGGATTGGGGCTAGGTCATATCAAAGAAAGGAACTTAGCCCTTAATTATTTAATTAAAGATTAATATTATTTTTAATTAGTAATGGTGATGATTATTTTCTTATATTCTTATTAATAATCAGTATTTAATTACTGAGTATTGTTGTTATAATAGATTTTCTAATTACACTAAATTCTGGTAATTTACATAACTTTAATGCACAATCAATTTTTGAACCATAGAGCTCTTAATTAAGATTAAAAATTCAAATTTGTTTGTGACTGAGAGTAACCACTTTTACAGTTTTTTAGGAGTGGATAAACTGTCTCTCCAAATGGGAGATACCCACTTTTCAGATTTTTGTTTAGATTAGTTATTAAATGTGTGGCACCTGTCTTAGTGTGCCACTTGTCTGAATGAGCAGAAGAAATGGAAGGTAAAGAATTGATTGGAAGAATTGTCTTGAAATTGGAATGATACATACTATTGGGTTTTTTTCTCTGAGATTTTAACAAACTGTAAAAGAGGGGCAACTGTAAAAGTAGGGTTAACCACTCTCACGGTTTTGAGAGTGGATGGCCTTTTGTATGAGTGTGGGAGAAACTAATTCTTAGCAGAGTTAACCGATTCCCAACCACAGGGGTTAGGACTATAACCTTCTTCACCACACCTCCATAGTCAATTTCTTATTATTTCTTTTCTTCATTGTGTTCAGGGATCCTCTGGTTTACAGGCAAAATTCCATTCCTCTAGATGAAATTTTTTCTTATGCTCTCTACCATTTGACAAAGATTCCCCATCTAGGAATTCCATCCTGTTTGCTATAGTTACAGGCATGAAAAGGTTGAGTAATATACTGGCAAGTTTGCTAATGTGCTTTGTATCTACTATCTAGCAATGGAAATAAAAAAAGCCAAAAATGGTAAATGTTCTATAAAATATTTAAATCTGAGAATTTCTTGCTTCTCATTCAGTTGAGTGTAAATGCTATACCAGCATGGTAAGTGGTTGGACCTATCATTCAATTAGGATACAACTTGGACTGGGTTAATTTGGATTGAGGCCAACTGCCAACTCCAGCCTAACCTGAGGTCTTGGACCCTCAACCCTAGCTCTAATCCAACCTAATCTTCAATCCAAAGTGATAAATTCTTAGTTTCCAACCCAACCCAATCTTTTCTGTTTCTCCAACCCTAACTTAACCCAACCAACCTGACTTTGCATTTAACAAGTTTAACAAGTTAAAGCAAAACTGCATTTAATCTGTCCACCCAATTGAATCAAAGCACAACTGTTTTGAATTTATAATACCAAATTAATGACACGATTTTAAATATTGTGATCATGGATTTTCATATCTCCAAATCACATGGTTAAGTTGATTTTGATTTCAAACAAAAGTCTCAGTAGTGTTATATAGAAGCATCAGTTGGTTGATTTCACTTCTAATAAATGTAGGACTTCCCCACCTCTTGTGCACCTGTCATATGTGCACTTTTTAGTTTCCAAAACTTATTCTGAGCAGACACAATATATGTGCACTTTCTATTAAACTAAAAATAACCAAAATATCACATGTGCACTTTCGATCGTATTAATGGTATCCAATATCCAAATGTTATTATTATTTCATGTCATGAAAGTTTTTTTCCTTACGTGCAGAAAAAAACCATTTTTTAGAAAGTACACATATGAGAGGTTTTGTTTTTAGTTCATTTTATTAATAAATCTTTTTTAGTTCATTTTATTAATAAGTCTTTTTTAGTTCATTTTATTATTAGTATTTAATATTTTGGTTATTTTGAGAAAGAAAGGTTCCTAACTACCATAATATTATTTTCAATTAGACGCAATATATTGGAGAAGACGTTAGCTGATGCTGATGTTTCTGAGGAAGAGCAAAATAACATACTGAAACACTTGGAGAAGAAGGAAACTGAATACATGCGCCTTCAGCGGCATAAGATGGGTGCTGATGATTTTGAATTGTTAACAATGATAGGAAAAGGTGCATTTGGGGAGGTAGGCCTCTGTTGCAATGTGTATGGTGATCTCATTAGCAAAGCTGTTAAGTTGCCTACACTGTATTGTATGTTTTTGCCAGACATTAGTTATTCTGCAGCTGTTGATTTGTTTTCTTAAGTGCAGAACTACAGATACTTATTATTGACTTACACCTTCAGAAGTGTTCCTTTGGTTCGTCTTAACAATTCTTCTAGCTCCTAAAACCATAAGCAACTGGGGACATGATATGTGCCGCCTCTGTCTCTCTCATGGTCTCTATATGTGTCCTGGACTTGGGGGAGGGTGTGGGGAAGACAATAATTGGTGGCATTACCTAGATGGAGTTCCAAGGCCACTGAGCCACTCATGTCACTAACATATATTTGCAACCTATGACATGGTTCCACAGCTGTATATCCCCAAAATGCCATAATCTGCAATATATGATGTTTTGCATAACTGTTGAAAGTAACATGATTTATAGGCATATGGAATAACTGTTTATTCATGTATATATATATATATATATATATATATATATATATAAGTCCAAATAAAATAGCACTGTAAAAAAAGGCTTGGTTTTACCTTATAATTTGTCATTATCTGTATGTAAACTTATATATGCATATATCATTGTCAAGATATAACGTTGTATGCAATTGTTAGTGTAGGGGTATTTTTGTCTTTATACTTATGCTAAGGTTGCTGATCTGTAATATTATATTAGAACTAGTGTCCCTCACTTAAATAAGGGCACGTGTCTTTTCTATTATATTAATAATATGAAAACATGTCTGGCCGAATGGGAGAGTAACTTTTTCCCTAATTCGAACCAGACTTTTCTTCTCTCCTTTTCTCCTCCTTTCTCTCTCTCTTTCTTCCTTCTTTCTTCCTCTTTCTTCTTGGCTGTTATCAGACTAACAGAACTCAAAGGCAGGCCAAATTATAACATGGTATCAGAGCTCAACTTAGCAACTC